GAAGACCTCAATGACATCACACTGCTCCTTAGGCACGAGCCATTGGCGTGTAACGCAGTATTTGATTCTCGAAACCAGCTCGATCTCATGACACACCTCGATCTGGAGGTAGGACCGACGGCGGGTCTTTAGAGACGATGTTTTAAAATTGCTTTACCAAATGATTGTACGGATCCGGGGGGTTCTTCATAATCAAAGATCCACTTCGTGCGCTTAGCGACCTCTTGGTGCCATCCGTGATAGCTTTACCCAGAAGCGACAACGGGTCGATCTCCTCTTTCGATCGTATAATGACCACTTCGGCTATACCGCCTGCCTTCAAGGCACCGTCGAACTCCTCAAGGGACATCTCATCCAGCTCAAGAAGAGCATCCAGCGCAAAAATAAACTCGAGGGTGACGTCACCGTCTTCCTCCTCCATCATACCGCTGACGAAAGTGTATAGCTGGGCGCTATCGTCTACGGTAGGCACATCGTGGGTCAGGGTCGACACCCGTTGTCTTGCCGATAACATACGGCGTCGCTGTTGCCTCTCCGTGGAGATTTTACGTGTCGGCAAGGCCACTGGGAGCAATCACTTAGCGTCATCCAGTATCCCCACTCCTTGCTCCAACGGAGCTCTGATGTTATTAACAGCAGTCGAAAGGGCTACTAGCTCCGCAGCCTTTGTCCAGTGGATAACGTTCCATTCCACACGCATCAGAAGTGCCTTGCCCAAGATGCCTCGGCCAAGGTGAACAGTACTCAGTGGATTATGTGTCACTTCACGTTCAGCCCCCGAGCCACTCTCGGGACTCCAGTACAAAACACCTTTGGCGTTCGACAGCTCGGATACTCCGACCTCCAGCACGTTGACCGTCTCGGTCCAGTGCCCGCACCAATACCTTTTTTGGCTCCTCGCAAAGGTTAATAACTCACCGAAGCTCCACCAGGAGCGCCTAAGATCTTCGACCTCCACTTGTTCAATGGTGCATAGTGTTAAGACCATGCCATACCAAGGATGAACTTATACCTAGACTCCAAGTTCAAGACTAAGCAGTGTTCCACGTTTTCAAAGTCAAGAAACTTGACACAAGGTTCACAGGAAACCTCGGTACAGTGACACAAGTCCCCGTCGTTAAGCCAATAATGATGGTGGCATTCAGCCGCGCTTTCAGCGCTTCAGCAAACAGCTGACTTCCTTCAATCGTGGAGCGTCGAGAATAATTGCCCGACGCCTTAAAATCGATGAGAATCCCCCGTGGCTTCTCAAAGCCCTCTTCCACGACCAGCAAGCTCGTGTTTCGTAATCAAGAGCACGGAGCACTTCGGGGCTGGGCCTTGCTGCCCTCTACCTCTTTGAGGTACGACAGAACGCAATTCTTCCCCAGTTGGCCGCCCAACGCCTTCCGGATTTTGTCGTTTTCCCGCGACAACCTAGAAGACTGGTGAGAAACGAACGTCGGTTCGGCGAACCTTTACGCGCCTTGTGCATGGAGCTACCAGCCCGAAGGTGACGGGTGTCTCACAGACAAAACACCATAAGGTGTTTACACGCTGCTTGGTAGCTCGGCAGCTCGGAGCTCTCCCTCCTCTTTCTCAGCATAGCTGAGATCCTTTGGCTCAGGCCCGATCAACGAGCTGCTAGGGTGTGCAACCAACCAAGTCGTGTCGACTTAAAGTTGAATTCAGCATCCAATGTAACATTAACCGCTATTTCAAAAGAAGACGGGCTCACACGGAAACCTCCATTCTGGCCACGCCAGTGCGGAGGCACTCCATAAGGACGGTCACTGTGACTACCTCGGTAAGAGGATCGGCTGCCATACCGGAAATGACAGTGCGCAACGCTTAGACAAAGTCCACCAATTCCTTCTTGCCCTGCCGGGCGGCAAGAGAACGCGATATATCTGGTGAGGCGGCGAAAACACTCGTTAAAGCTTGAACTTCAGCTCCGTCCAGGAAGGATACGCCGCTTGACCGAAGTGCAGCTCGTCAGTGCCCATTCTCGCGCTCGACTTCCGAGGTTGGAAATTGCTAGCGCCACGCGCTGATGCCTGGTCTGGAGCATGGCGGACGCCATGGCCATCTCGACCTCCCTCCCCCAGAGCAGAAGATCCTTTCCATTTTGCCCTCAAAGATCTTCATGCTTACCACAAGCGGCCTGGGTTGGGAGGAGTCATCCATCGTCGACGGTGGCATCATGGATGCTGTCGACGCCGACATCTTTTGCTGGAGGTGCTCTAGTAGAGCATTTTCATAGCTTGTAAACGCCTCAAGACGCGCGCTGATCGCTTCACGCCATGCGAAGCGAGGTGTTGCACGCCCTTAAGGTTAATCAGAGATATCAGCTTATTAAGCCCGTCCTGCATGCCAAAGAGACCAGAGAACTGCTATACCCTTATAGAGGATAAGTCGTAACGACTCAAGTTGACTGACTACAAGTGCTACCAAGTGCTACGAAGCTGCCGTAGCTCTTTCGCTCAGAGGAAGCTTAGCAAAGGTCGGCGACCTTCAATTTATAATTAGAACCAGTGCGAGTACGAGTGTAGCGGATAGCAATCCTCTTACTCCAAGAGTAACTACAACCTTAACCCAAGGCTAATTAACTCCTCCGTTTGAAATCGAAAACTGTATTTTTCGGTTTCAATTGCGGCAAAAGCCGCCTATATCTTAATCTATAAGTTTTCCTATCTATATTGTAAAACCTAACGAAACATATACGGCTGTTCCAGCCGATAAATTTGTAGCCACACCATTATGTGGTTACATTATCATGTGTAACTCAAACCATCTCGTGTGTCTCATACCATTGTGTGATCACACTATCTTGTGTGACCCCGTTACACACTGCTTATCTCCTCCACTTGCACCTTGCGGTGTATAGCCTTGCGATCCTCACCCCGACTAGAGTTTTTTCCTAAGCGTGTTTCTACATATATTAATCAACAAGATCATGAGAAAACGGTAAAGCAGTTGCGGTACTCGTAAACACGAGCGGTCATAGAAACTCTCCATGACTTCTAAATTGAACGAGCTAGATACGGCAACACTACCTACTTATGAAAAGAGGCTCTCGTTTTCGTTCTGGACAGTGAGTACGCACTCATCCTTCATATGTTGTTAATGCGGACTTCTTAAGTCAAAGCTTCTTCCGTTCAAGGAAGACGGCGATTTTGTGGTCGCAGAATAAATTTGAGCCCGCGATAGACCCATCCCAAGCACATCCATACGCCAATTGTTCGGGGAGCTATTTAAAATGCGGCTGGACCAGCACTGTTGGACTCTACTTGATGTATCAAATCTCGGGAGTAACATATAAAAAGAGCTTAGTTTAGCTTATAGCTATACTAAAGTTTGTACGATCTCTCACACACCTCTCCCTTTCCGCGGTCTCACCATCCTCATTCGTACCAGTTCTAATCATGATACTTAATTACATGATTTTGTTCGGAAGTTCTGCAATTTTCTCTCGTAGTTGAAATAAATGATAATGGTCTTACACATTCTCACGCCCAATAAGCCCATACTTGAAAGTTAGTTTTCCCAATAAGCCCATACTTTGGTCACAGTTATTTTGTCTTTTCATGACATTGCGCAAAATTAATGTGGATAAGTAAATCTAGTCAAGAGAAAATAAATTCCAGTAAATTATCCCTGAACATGTTCACCAGCATTTGAAGAGTTCATTATTTGGCAAATACGGTTAGGTAGTATTAGCCAATCAGAATTCACATGTCAAAGAGATACACATATCTTACGTGTGAACATACGTAATGATGTAAACCACGCGATGTCTAACAAGCGCATCGCCGACCTTTGGGGTCTGACATGGAGCGCGCACATGTCCTCATTAAATTGCGCTGTGATGCGACGCATTCTGATACCGTAGGTATATGTCGTACCAGTTCAACCACTATCTGTTTGGAGCACAGCAATATGTCGCCGGGCGTGGCCAACATCACGTTTGAGCAGGTCTACGACATCAATGACAACAATTCGCGTATATTCGAAACAAGTCTAAAGGATACAATTGATAATATTGTCCACGGCAAATCCGCCACACTTGTAGTCACAGGCGCAAAAAGTGCAGGAAAGTCGCTTGCTTGTCATGGTGACAGGAGGAAGCTGAATGAAAGAAAAACAAATTCAGGGCTGATAACGTTGGCAATACAAGAGACCTTTAGCATTTTGAATGAGAAAGCTAATGATTTGACTCGATATAACGTGCTATTAAGCTGCTGGGGAGCTGATTGCAACGAAATGAGCAACAAAAGAGTTTTAATGGATCTTTTAGCATTTAAGAAAATATCTGATGTGGATGACATCGAGAAAGAAATGATTAATGGTTCGATACTGGTGAATTCCTCAGATGAAGCTGTGCATTTGTACATGAAAGCACTAGAAAGAGTTAGTGATGCAGAGAAGCAGAATTTTGTGTTTGTGCTTCATGTGGAGACACAGTGGCCTAGTGGCGAAGTAAGACGGGGGCGTTTTATTGTTATTGACATTCATGGTGGATCCATTATCGAGCCGAGAGCACAAGAGACTGGCAAAATCACACAGATGAAGGATAGGAATAGAATTTTTGCGGATACGTCGCTTTCAGTGAATAAGCCACTTAGTGCAATCTTTGGGGCGTTTATAGGTAATACCAGCTCCACGTATGTAATGGTTGTCATACAAACTTCGCCACTCTCCAGCAGCAGGTAAATACATTTATTTTACTTTATTCAATGCAGCTGATAAGACTTGTGTCGCTGAAAGTCAGGCCATTCAGTCGCTTTTGTACGCATGCAAGGCAAAAGAAATTAAAAATACCAGCCCAACAAATTATCTACCTTTCTTTGTGAATAGAGCCAACACAAATCAATATTTCAAAACACAAACAAATCTGCCTCAAGATACTGAAGTATTCGCATCTGACGTTCATGATGAAATCACGGTACTACAACTAGCTTTGGAAAATCGACACCCTAAGTACTTCTCGCAAACATGCTCACCACCATTGTACGTCTGCGCGTCATTTTCTCCCTCAAGATGTTCTGCTTGATATTAATTATAGTTGCTCATAGATCTACGACCTCAAACGATTCCTCATATGAGTCGCCATTCGCTGGAGCATCAACAGAGGTATCATTAGCCCATCGTGTGTCCGTGAAGGGTGAAAGCGAAGAATCCCAGAAACAGTTGGCTGTCTCGAGACGACTGCGTATTGCTTACGACATTGCAAAAGCTGCTACAGATTTGCAATCAAAGCAAAGTATTGCATACTCTGTGCAATCCGTTCAGACTGGCGATACATCAAGTCATGCAGCAATTGATGAATCACTGGCGCATTCACCTTGCGACATGATACATAAACAATCAGCTCAGGCCAAGTTGGAGACACTAAAATCCACTCACACTGAACTAGAGCGTGCTCTAGCACACGAGGCTTCAATTAAAAATAAGTGCGTAGACCGCATCTCGCGACTAAGCCAAACGTTAAACTGCCAGATGGTCGAACACGAGAAGCAGCTTCAAGCGGCGCTGAAAGCAAAGTCTGCTGTCGAAGATCAACTTCGAGACGTAAATGCTAAATTTGACGATGCTAAGCTCGAGGTTTTGCGCTTGCAAGAAGAAGTCAAGTCACTTAGGGCTATTCAGCCAACTCTGGCTGAGCATACGGCTGCCAATGAGCGTAGAATGCTTCACACGTTGTCTGCTAGGCTTGAACAGGCAATGATTGAAGCAAAGGATGTGATTACTTTCAAAGATGGTATAATAACGTCTTTGGAAAATCGACTTGAGCTCGCGAGCAAGCGTGGTGTAGACGCTGTGACACTTATGCAGGAAGAGAGGAGTCAATTTGAACGCGAAAAGACCAAATTATTCACTCAGCTGGAGAACAATAAGAAAATCATCAACTCCACGGAAAACGAGGAGATACTGAGACTGAAAACTGAAAATTTATCACTTCAGCAGCAAAATGGTGACCTCACTGCGCAAGTGAAGCATTTAGCGTTAGATTTGGAGTCGGCTAGGTTGCAGTGGACAAAGGAGGCTAGTCACCGTGAAGTGCAAGCAGAACAGAGGTGTGCACAGCAGCTAGTCCAGGCTGAGAAACAGCTCGAACAAGTGACAATTGCAATGCAGCAACAAATGGCACAATTTCGCAACGAACTTGATATGAAGGTCGCAAGACAGCGAGTAGCAGCACAAGTCGCGTGCAAGGCCAGTTCGCTGAAGTGTGATCTTGTAGAACGTAAGCTGGAGCGAATGAAGAAAAAAGGAGTCAAGCAGAAGGTGAAGATGGAAGAAAAATCGCGTACACTTCTAGCAAATGCTTCTAAAGAATACGACAAGCTAGTTGCAAGCTTACAACGTGAGCTCATGGAGCTAGCGGAACGTTTGAAGGCCGCGATGACATGTGAAGAGAATGCTTTGAGGCGGGCAAAGAAAAGTGAAGAAGATGCGGAGCGATTAAAAGTTGATCTTGAACAGCTGCAATCGTATACGAGTAAGCTGGACAAAGAACGCGTTGCCTTGAGTCAAGCTTGCAAAGAACTGGAGACAGATAAAATAGCAATGAAAGCTGAGTTTGAGATCCGTACACACGAGATGGAAAAATTACTAGCAAAGCAAATCATGGCAGCTGAGGCGCGTGTTCACAAGGAACGTGACAATGAGATACAAATTTTAACAGAAAGGCACAACGCTGAAATAGAAAGCTTACAATGTGAGTCAAATAACCGAGAAAAAGAAACGATGTCAATTGGGCTCACGCGAAAGCAAACTCCATCCGCTGAATCATCGCATACTTCTTCTGGTCAAAACGATCCGATTGTATTGGGTGAAAACCCGCAAAAGAGTATTAGCGATCTTGGCGAATTAATCGATTCGAAAGAACGGCGATGCAAGAATCTAACTAAACAAGACAGAGCTGATGAGAAAGCTTTTATTGCAATGAAGAGGGCATTATTACACAAGGAAGACGAAATTGTTGGACTCACAGAACGTCAAAAGCAGCTTTTAGCTGCATTGGCGATGGCCAATGAGCAGGAAACTCTAGCAAAGAAACAATCTCAGGAATTGGAACTACTACGTCAGAATGAAGCGTCTCGATACGAAGATCTTCTGCAACAGCTCAATAGTGTCAAACAGGAAAATTGGAACCTTAGTCTTGCTCTTAACATTACAGAGGCTACCAATCAACCGAAAAGCCATGAGATCTGACCTCATCCACCAGTCAGTGTTTGCATAAAAGCTGTGGGAAGTAAATTGTTCACGTAAATGAGTTTGTAGAGTATTGCAACTCGCTTTCTCTTTGGAGTGATATCTTTTTTGGGAAAATCCAGATTTATAGCATTAGATGCATTTGATAACCACACGATCCCTGCTTCTCTTCACGCAGGCTTTTACTCAGGACGCTCTTTTAATTTAGAAGATTTTAATTTTGCAAGAAATAAAATCTGCGTTGATAAAGGTACAGATGATGGGTCCCTACGCTCAAGAGTCGTTAGCATACTGCGTTTGTGTCAAAAGTAACATGTATTAAAAACCAATTCTACTTTGGCGTGAAACATACGTCGCGCAAGGGTGATGCAAAACGTTGAGGACCTCGGAGATGATTGCATGGAAATGGATCAGTAGCCTCCAATAAATGAGCAGGTATTAAGTCGGATTTTTTCATCCAAGCCTAGTTTTCTCAAAGAATACAAGGGTTTCGTGCGGTCAGCTGCAGGGTCTGCGTCTTTTTTGGCGACTCATTGAGTCATGAGGTAAAAGAAGAAAGAGAGTGATACTCACTGTAGCAATGTATGCTCGAAGAACTCCAAATAATCAGATTTCTTGGAATGATGCCGTATGTGTGTGACCCCAGCGGAAACCGGGTTAAGTTACCCGTAAAAACGCTGACAATACGTGCAGCAGCATAGCTCAGAAGCATCACCGTATATAACATGACATGGTTTTACAATTAGCACTCGAATAAATGAGAGTGATGGTACATCGAAATGGACAGTTTCGTGGGTTGCTCAAAAATCTTTTTTTCATTCAATGAGTTATTGTAACGGGGGTAGTAATGCAATATTTGTATACATACACCTTGCACTTTTGTGCAATTGTGCAAATGATAATGTTCATGCAGCGGGGCTACCGTAGCTCTTTGCTTACAGGAAGCTAAGCTGAGGTCATTGACCTTAGGCTCTTTACAAGAACCAGCACGAGTGTAGCGGATCGCAATGCGCTACCTTCAAGAGTACTCAAAACCTTAAGCAAGGTAAAAAGGCTCTTCCTCCCAAAACTGAAACTATAATAATTGTTTTGTTGAATTTTCTTAACTAATATAGTAAATCCTAATGAATATGCATAACTACTGGCAATTTTGCCACGTAGTGGCCTCTTATTATGTTGTAGTCACACCATTGTGTGATTGCACCAAGTTGTTTAATCCGCAACTATTCACGGTCACACAAGATGGTGCGACCCGCACTTTTATACAAGGGTACGTGTAACCCCGTTACATTCTCCCCCATCAAATTTGTGATTACCCACAATTCACATTGAACTGTCGCCTCATACAAGGCTCTTGTGTCTGAGACACCGTTATGTCCCAACGACATCTTTGAACATTCTCTGCTCAATGAGCCCAACGTTTATGGCACGAAAAACACCCAGCCTAGCTGATTCCGAGGGCTCCCGATGGCAAAGTTCTTCTTCTTTTTCTGCACGGGGTGCATCTCCGGTCAGTACGTCCGCAGCTTCAAGGGAAGCACATCGCAAGTCCTCGGCAGCCGAGCGCCACATACCGCACCCACCATGGGCGATGATTGTCCTCGTCGAGGATTTGAAGGAAGTCGACTACGAGTCGAGTACTCCTTTCCCAGCATGGGAAGACGAGGAGGGTGAGGTGCGCCAACGGCGCGTTGTGAGCCCAGCTTGAACGTTGCGGATACGTGTCCGTTTCCGAATTCTCGACTTCCGAGCGAAGTGGTATTGTTACCGATCGCCTCGATTAGGCACAGGAGCAGAAATTGGAGGCTGCCCAAAAGGCGGCTCTCAAGCGCTCGTATCCACGTTTGGTCCTAGACCCTCGTGTGGAGTACGGCTTCCGCTCGGCGGATCCCGCTACTGAACCGAAAGTCGCGATCACTTAATCGTTAGGTGTCTACGTAGTCGGGCCCTCAACCACTACAGGGGAAGGTTATCCGAGATCGCTTTAAGGTACCACAAGAAATCCCGATGAATCGGTACCGCGCTCAACTTTGAGCTTAAAAGGGAGGAGATCCTGTACCCTCAATGCAGACTGTTCCTGTGGTGCTCGACCTTTGCAAAACAGCTGCAGATGACTAGGAACTCATTGAGCGACGGGTGCAGCGGCACCAAAACTATCTTCGCTGTCTACCTTACAGCAAACCCACAAGGAAGTGGACGTGCGCGTTGAGTGCCAAACGCAAGGCGCAATGTCGTCTTTCTGCGTATTGTCGCCCTGCGACACATGAAATCATCTATCACGCTTCCGCGAGCTCTGTGGCTTCTCACATGGGTGAGTAGCCATAGCTGGAGCTCGGCTCTTGGCCCCCGGCATCCCGGGCAACTACCGAAAAGCGCGGGCGCACCACGACGCAAAGAATCGTGAACCTTCTGATCATAAGCGTCAACGACTTCTGGGCAGTCTTGCCGAAATGGCACCTCAAACTTCCACGATTTCTAGGAGTTTGGATATCATCGTAAGATCACAAGATATTGGGTTAGACTCTGTCGACGACGTCGATCCATAAGATATTCCACGTGGTAGTAGACGCCACCATCCTCATCGAGAATAGATGGCGGCGTATAATGACGACTTGATCGATCGCCTCCGGTGACCCGTGATGCTCTTCGAGTGTTGGAGGACAAAACCCGTCGTCATCGGCATTCCGCCGGATATTTTCCGTGGTCGCCTACCGCTGTGCGGAAGACCTCGAGAGCCTGGAGCACTTTGTACACCAACTGCCGTATGTTAAGGAATATCAATCACTGTCGGAGCAGCACCTTGCCGTCGAGCAAATGAATACCTTATTCGTATGACGGTGGAGCATCTTACACCGTTGGAAACGGAAATTGTTGCACTCCGAGCTCAGAACCAGCTGCTGGTTCAGCTTCCAGATGGCCGAGAACCTTTGGGCGCTGCCTTGGCTCCAACGCTACCGCGTTCACTTGCACCGGATCCCGGTACGGCTTAAGCAAGTCCACATAAAACACCGGGTGGATGCGCATCCTTCTCGGAAGGTTCCGCGTATACGCAAGATCTTGCTTGACGACCTTAAAAGGTAAAAATGACGTGGACGGCGCTTTGGCTTAAAGACAGCTGGGACTGCATGTGTAGGAAGGTTATTGCGTTTAATAAAACCAGGTCTCCGACTTCAAAGTTTTCCACATTTCTTCTGTTTCTTCCATCTGCATATTCTTTCTGCATGTCATGGCTTTCAGCTGTCGCATCGCGAGTAGGTGTAGGACACTCTGTAACGGGGTTACATGTACCTATGTAAGAAAGGGCGGGACGCACAAGATTGTTCAACCGTACGTAGGTGTGTATTACACAGCGAGTGTAATCACACAGTGGTATGGCTAC